ATGAAGAAGCAAATATGAGAATCTAGCTGTCTTGTACTGAGGCAGACATTTAAAAGATTTTTAGAAATGTAAAACATTCCTAAATTCTTTGTTTTTTAAAATGCAATTATTTTAATAAAATTTTATTTATGATAATCAGTGGATTTATTATTGTAAATGTATTAATACATATTTTTTCTCGCTTTTTCCTTCTTTTCTTTTTCCTTCTTTCTTTACTTTTCTTTTTTGAGACAGAGTTTCACTCTTGTTGCCCAGGCTGGAGTGCAATGGTGCAATCTCAGCTCACTGCAACCTCCATGTCCCAGGTTCAAGCGATTCTCCTAACTCAGCCTCCCGAGTAGCTGGGATTACAGACATGTGCCGCCACGTCTGCCTAATTTTATACTTTTTACTTGTTGGTCAGGCTCCTTTTGAACTCCCGACCTCAGGTGAGCTGCCTGCCTTGGCCTCCTAAAGTGCTGGGATTACAGGTGTGAACCACTGCGCCTGGCCATTAATACATAGTTTTAAAATTTCAGTTTTGATTTCTAATATAGTAAATATTGATAGATCTGTGACCTGCACTAGCAAAAGCTCTTTAGGGTCTAAGAATGTTAATATTTTTACCATGTGTATATAATTTTTATTTGTAAATATATTATTAAAATAACTGTCACATAAGAAAACAATCCTTTTTACAAAGAAGCACTGGTGCACTTCCTTTTAGCACTGTTTGTAAAACTTGTCAAAAGGAGGATGAATTTTTAAACTACCCCAGCTGTGCCTAGAGGACAGCTAACACAGGAAGAACAAGTCTAGCAAAAAAAATTCACCAAGGCTACTTTCTGCCACCGTGGAATCCAACATTAATTTTTTTTTTTTTTTTTGACAGAGTCTAGCTCTGTTGCCCAGGCTGTAGTGCAGTGGCGCGATCTCGGTTCACTGCAACCTCCACCTTGCTGGTTCAAGCCATTCTTGTGCCTCAGCCTCCCGAGTAGCTGGGATTTCAGGCATGTGCTACCACACCTGGCTAATTTTTGTATTTTTAGCAGAGACTGCTTTTGCCAATATTGGCCAGGCTGGTCTCGAACTCCTGACCTCAAGTGATCTGCCCACCTTGGCCTCCCAAGGTTCTGGGATTATAGGTGTGAGCCACTGCTCTCCACCCCACACTAGTTTTTTAAAAAATATTATTTTAAAATAATTATAGACTCACAGGAATTTGCAAAAGTACATAGAGTCCCATGTACCTGAAACCACGCTTCCTCTAATAGTGGTGCCTTATGTCATTATAGTACAATATCAAATCCAGGAAATTGATACAAGATTGTTAACTAGAATATAGACCAAATTTTCACCATGTTACATGCATTTGTGTGTGTGTGTGTGTGTGTGTGTGTATTGTTCTATGTGGTCTTATCCCATGTATAGATTTAACAATTACTACAGTCATGATATAAAACTATTCAATGACCTCCCTTTTGCTTCCCCTTCATAATCATACCCACCCTGCCCCATCTTTGCTCCCTGGTAATGATTAATCTGTTCTCTATCTCTAAAATTTTGTAATTTCAGGAATGTTACGTAAATAGAGTCCAAAACTATGCAGTCTTTTGGGATTGATGTTCTTCACCAAATGTAATCCTTTCAAGTCACCTCTCGGTTGTTGTGTATATCAGTAATTTGTTTCAGCTGAGTAGTATTCCCTTAGGTGATAGACCAGAATTTCTTTATCCAATCACTAGTTGAAGAACATTTAGGTTGTTTCCTGGCTTTGCAATTACAGATAAGGCTGCTGTGATCATTAGCATGCAGGTTTTGTGTGACCATAAGTATTCACTTCTCTGGGATAAATGCCTAAGAGTGCACGTGCAGGATCATGTGATATGTACATGTTTAGTTTCATAGGAAATTGCCAGAATGATTTCCAGAGCCTTACCATTTCATATTCCTAACAGCATTGTATGAGATACCTGTTTTTTCCACATCCTTGTGAACATTTGGTATTACTGTGTTTTTATTTTAGCCATTCTAATAGGTGTACAATGATAGCTTAGCTTATTGTGGTTTTAATTTGCATTTCCATAGTGACTAATGATGTTGAACATTGTTTTTCATGTTCTTTGCCATCTGTGTATTCATTTTGGTGAAATTTGCTCATTTTCTAATGGAATCTATTTTTTTCCTTTTTCTTGGAGACAGGGTCTCACTCTGTTACCTAGGTTGGAGCATAGTGTCGCAATTATGTCTCGCTGAAAATCTGACATGGACTCAAGTGATCCTCCTGCCTCAGCCTCCTGAGTATCCAGGACGACAGATGTGCACCACCATTCCCGACTACTAATTTTTAAATTATTTTTAGAGATGGGGTCTCACTCTGTTGCTCATGCTTGTCTTAAATTCCTGGCCTCACGTGATGCTCTCACCTCAGTCTCCCAAAGTGCTGGGAATAGAGGTGTGAACCACTGTGCCCAGCCTTCTAATGGAATCTTTAAGTCTTTTTTTACTGTTGAATTTTGAGAGTTTCTTTTCCTTCTCTGTCTCCTCCTAGCAAGTCCTTTTGCCCAGACTGGAGTGCAGTGACATGATTGTAGCTCACTGCAGCCTTGAACTCCTGGGCTCAAGTGATCCTCCCATCTCAGCCTCTCAAATAGCTAAGACTGCAGGCATGTGCCGCCACACCTGGCTAATTATTTATTTATTTATTTTTGTAGAGACTGGGTCTCGTAATGTTGCCTAGGCTGGTCTCAAAATCCTAGCCTCAAGTGATCCTCTCGCCTCAACTTCCCAAAGTGCTGGGATTACAGGCATGAGCCACCATGCTGGGCCAGCTTGTCTATATCTATGAAAAATCTTCTGGGATTTTGATAGTAATTACATTAAATCTATAGATAACTGGGGAAAATTGACATATTTATTATATTGGGTTTTCCAATCACTGAGCACTGCGTGTATCTCCACATTTTCAGACCTTTGCAAGCTTTCTTTCATTAAGTTTTATGAAAAGGATTGTACTTACAAACTCTCAGTGGCTTCATCCTGGTAGAGAACAGGAATGCTGCTTGCTCTGTGCACTCTGCAGCCTCAGTTTTCTCAGTTGTGGTGACAGCTTTCTCATAAGCTCATGGTAAATATTTAAGGAGATGCTGAATGCCTGAGTCCTGCCTCCAGCATATGTGCTTTTCTCCTTAACTTCCCACTCATTACCTGTTGGGTCTTGAGTCTTCATCTGTGAACCCACATAGGATAATAGTGGGACTGACTTCCAAGGGGTTGTTGTGAGGAGTGGGTATGAGAATTCAAGTTAGGCACCAAGGAGACTGCTGGACACAGTAGGGGTACCATAAGCAGTAGCTGTTATTACCCTATGATTGTCGTGAGGTGAAACTATAATTTCTTCCTTTCACTGAGAGAAAATTGTCAAGCAGCTGGTCCAAAGAGCATAAGCAGCACAAGGCAGGTAGCAGGATGTTGCTGAAGGTTTGGGACAGTGGAGCAGGTTTATTTTAGCACATCAGACAACACAAAAGAGAGTCTCAGAACCATGTGCATGCTATGACCCAACTTTTATAGAAAAAGAACAAGAATAGTTATGTTTGTGTTTTTGTAAAAGCAGATCTGGAAGAACACACCCCATACCAGACTGTGGGGAGCTGGGGAACTTTCACTTCTACTTTTTACCCTTTCTGTGTTTGAAAGTTATTTTTTGGTACAGGTCTGGTGGATCATGCCTGTAATCCCAGTACTTTGGGAGGCCGAGGTGGGCAGATCAATTGAGGTCAGCCTGGCCAACAAGGCAAAACCGCATGTCTACTAAAAATACAACATAATATTAGCTGGGCATGGTGGTGTGTACCTGTATAGGGAGGCTGAGGCAAGAGAATTGCTTGAACCCAGGAGGCGGAGGTTGCAGTGAGCCAAGATCACGCCACTGCACTCCAGCCTGGGCGACAGAGTGAGACTTTGTCACAAGAAAGAAAAGTTGTTTCTTTTTAGTTGAGTGTGTGCTACACTAAACATGTTCAAAAATTTATCACTTTTCAAAAGAAGACATATATGAAGCCAACAAACATATGAAAAAATGCTCATCATCACTGTTTATTAGAGAAATGCAAATCAAAACTACATTGAGATACCATCTGATGCCAGTTAGAATGACGATCATTAAAAAATCTGGAGACAACAGATGCTGGAGAGGATGTGGAGAAATAGGAACACTTTTACACTGTTGGTGAGAGTGTAAATTAGTTCAACCATTGTGGAAGACAATGTGGCAATTCCTCAAGGATCTAGAAATAGAAATACCATTTGACCCAGCAATCCCATTACTGGGTATATACTCAAAGGATTATAAATCATTCTATTATAAAGACACATGAACACGTATGTTCATTGTGGCACTTGTTTACAATAGCAAAGACCTGGAACCAACCCAAATGCCCATCGATGATAGACTGGACAAGGAACATGTGGCACATATACACCATGGAATACTATGCAGCCATAAAAAGGATGAGTTCATGTCCTTTGTAGGACTTTCAACCTTTGACATGGTTGAATCTGGAAGCCATAATTCTCAGCAAACTGACACAAGAGAAAATAAAACACCTTATGTTCTAACTCATAAGTGGGTGTTGAACAATGAGGACACATGGACACAGGGAGGGGAGCATCACACACTGGGATCTGTTGGCGGGGTGCAGGGGAGGGACAGTGGGGATAGTGGGGACATTGGGGAGGGATAACATTGGGAGAAATGCCAGATTTGGGTGATGGGGGGATGGAGGCAGCAAACCACATTGCCATGTATGTACCTATGCAACAATCCTGCATGATCTGCACATGTACCCCAGAACCTAAAGTACAAAAAAAAAAAAATTAATTGAATTTTTTTTTTTTTGAGACAGGGTCTTACTTTGTCACCGAGGCTTGAGTATAGTGGCATGATCATAGCTCACTGCAGCCTCAACCTCCTGGGCTCAAGTGATTCTCTTGCCTCAGCTCCCTGAGCAGCTAGGACTACAGGCATGTGCCACCAAGCCTGGCTAATTTTTTCATTTTTATTTTTTGTAGAGATGGGGTCTTGCTGTGTTGCCCAGGATGGTCTCGAACTCTTGGCCTCAAGCAATCCTCAGTCTCCCAAAATGTTGGGATCATAGGTGTGAGCCCCTGTGCCTGGCCAAATTTTTTTTTTGAAAGGCTAACCAATAAAAAATGAACCAAATTTACAAGAACAAAACAGCCCCATCAAAAAGTGGCCAAAGGATATGAACAGACACTTCTCAAAAGAAGACATTTTTGTGGTTAACAAACATACCAAAAAAACCTCATCATCACTGGTCATTAGAGAAATGCAAATCAAAACCGCAATGAGATATCATCTCATGCCAGTTAGAATGGCGATCATTAAAAAGTCAGGAGACAACAGATGTTGGAGAGGATGTGGAGAAATAGGAACACTTTTACACTGTTGGTGGGAGTGTAAATTAGTTCAACTACTGTGGAAGACAGTGTGGCAATTCCTCAAGAATCTAGAAATAGAAATACCATTTGACCCAGCAATCCCATTACTGGGTATATACCCAAAGGATTATAAATCATTCTACTATAAAGACACATGCACATGTATGTTTATTGTGGCACTATTTACGATAGCAAAGACTTGGAACCAACTGAAGTGCCCATCAATGATGGACTGGATAAAGAAAATGTGGCACATATACACAGTGGAATACTATGCAGCCATAAAGAAGGATGAGTTCATGTCCTTTGCAGGGACATGGATGAATCTGGAAACCATCATTCCTGGCAAACTAACACAGGAACAGAAAACGAAAGACCACATGTTTTCACTAATAAGTAGGAGTTGAACAGTGAGAACGCATGGACACAGGGAGGGGAACATCACACACCGGGGCCTTTTGGGGGTTGGGGGTCCAGGGGAGGGATAGCATTAGAAGAAATACCTAATGTAGATGATGGGTTGATGGGTGCAGCAAACCGCCATGGCATGTGTATACCTACGTAACAAACCTGCACATTCTGCACATGTATCTCAGAAATTAAAATTAAAAAAGGGGGAAAAAGTTTAAAAAATTAACCAATCAGGAAAGTACACAGAAGAACAGTAGGACAATTTCTCTTCCTTTGAGCTTCCTGCCTGACCCTTGGGCTTCGTCACTTCTTTGGCTTACCAGCTCCCATCCTTCAAAGTTTCTGAGTTGTTATTCTGTGGAGAATTTGAGCTACTCTCTTTCTTTAGACCCAGGCCATCTAAGGTGGGTCCAGAGAGCCTCACTCACCTCCCCAACTAAGCAAGCATACCTGGAGGTAAGCAAGCATACCTGGAGGTGTGTTCTTCATGCAAGGGCAGTTTCTGCTCTGAGAGAATTTAATTTGGTTAGCTCAATTAAAGGGGTTATATTCTTTTCCCTTTCACATGGGAGAAAGTAGCTGAAGTCTACTGACCAATGAAATTCTCTGTGAAGAGTCTGGGAGGGAGGGTTTAGATAATTCATCTACAAGGGTGCTCAGAGAGTTTGGAGAGAAGCAATTGGTGTCGTTATGATGGCATTCTACAGCACAGTACTTGCATTGCACCAGGCACTCTTTAAAAAACTCTGCAAGTGTTCATTCATTTAATTCTAACCACAACCCTGCAAGGGACTTCCTGTTATTGTCCACATTTTACCAAAGAGGAAGCTGAAGCAGGGAGGTTAACTACCTTGACCAAGTGCCTTTCCTCCTTTGAGGAAAAGGAGCCAAAGGTTCAGCCATGACCAAATCATATCCCTCTTCTCATCCAACCACCCAACCATTCCACAGGTAGCCTGACCAGCCACTTTTATACAAAGCACAGTATTCAGATTGGAATAAAAATATATCTCCTTCACTCCCTGCTCTGAGAGGTGTTTCCTCTCAGACTTCCAGGAGCTGGATTGAGGAAAATGGCTTAGTTGGTACAGTATAACAAAATGTCCTGCTTGTTGAAACTGAATTTGTGATTATCTTCTTTTTCATCAAGAAGTCATTGAGGGGTGTTGTATCCCTATAAAAGGAGAATTTAGGGTAGCCAAATAAAAAGGGTGTAATGTAGTCTCATTACAGGAAAAGAAAGTGTGAGCAGCCTTTTAGTAGTTGATTGCCTCAAGATGTGGCATTCAGCCAGGGTGAAGGGAAAGTGGTTGGGGCTGCGGATCTGGAGGTTTACAGAAGCCTGTATCCATCTTGAGACTCAATTACGCTGTTGGTCTTCAGCCAGAGAAGTGTCTGCATCTACTGAGAGTAAAAAGTATTGCTGTGATCATTGGTTACCTCTGTTCTCAAAGGTGTGCCAGGTTTGGAGGGCTCACTTCTGCCCAGTGTTTTGGGGGCAAACCTTCCCAGGCAGTTGGCCTCATTGTAGTTAGAACCTCTCCATTTCTACACTTCAGAAATGATGCCTGAGAATCTTCAGGTCACCTGGATACATGTTTCCCCAGCATCACTCCCTGGACACTGAAGAAAGAGGAAATCAGCAGACATCTAACAGGGAGAGGTTGTTCTTTTAGCATTGCAGCTATTTCCAGGCAGTGGGGAAGTACTCAAGTACCTGTAGTCAGGCAGATTAGCCATACCTAAAGTCAGGGATGGAAGAGAATAGACTTTGCTATATCAGTTAGCAATAATAGTCCAGGCAAAGGCTAGAAGTGGTGGCTCTTGCCTGTAATCCTAGCACGTTGGGAGGCCGAGGTGAGCAGATCACCTGATGTCAGAAGTTCGAGACCAGCCTGGCCAATATGGTAAAACCCCATCTCTACTAAAAATACAAAAATTAGCTGGGCATGGTGGTGGGCACCTGTAATCCCAGCTACTTGGGAGGCTGAGGCATGAGAATCGATTGAACCCGGGAGGCAGAGATTGCAGTGAGCCAAGATCATCCCACTGCACTCCAGCCTGGGCAATAGAGTGAGACTCAGTCTCAAAAAAAAAAAAAAAAAAAAAGTCCAGGTGAGAGGTTATCATGGCTCACACTAGGGTGATGACAAAGGAAATGCAAAGAGATGGATCAATGCAAGAACTAATCTAGAGGTAGAACAATGGGACTTACTGACATGGATGGTGAAGGAGAGTTCAGAGGCAGCACCCATCTTGAGATTTGATTGAACAATTGGTAAATGATGGTGCCATTCACTGAAAGAGAGGAAACTAAAGAAGGAACAGGTTTTCATGACCTGTTATGATTCCATTTAGTTTGAGTTGCCTATTATAATTCCAAGTGGATGTGGGGAGTAAAAAATGGGTTGTATGAATCTGGAGTTCATAGAAGAGGTCAGGGTTGAATGTGTAAATTTGGGAAATGGTATGAAATTCCACAGAAATTGGTAATACAACATGTAGAACTGAACGATCATGAAAAATCTGTTTTTCAGCCAAGCTTGTAGAATGCAACTCAAGCAGTACTCAAAAGAAAAGTTAATGCCAAAGTGCATATATTTATAAAAAAGAAGACTGAAAATGTATGTAGTAAATGTCCAATATAGTTTAGGTAAGGTAGAAGGGAGGATCTAATGAAGAATAGAAAATAATGAAAGAGAAAACAAATATTAGAAAAATCAGCTAAACTAAAATAAATTTATACAAAAAACTAATAAACCTCTGGAGAAATGGACTCAGAATAAAGAAATGCACCAATAAAAAATATTTGGAATATGTGCTAAATGCCACTGAATTGTACACTTTAAAACGGTCAAATGGTGAATTTTTTGTTTGTTTGTTTTTTGAGACGGAGTCTCACACTGTCACCTGGGCTGGAGTGCAATGGTGCAATCTAGGCTCACTGCAACCTTTGCCTCCCAGGTTCATGTAATTCTCCTGCCTCAGACTCCAGAGTAGCTGGGATTACAGGCACACACCACCATACCCAGGCTAATTTTTTGTATTTTTAGTAGAGACAGGGTTTTACTATGTTGGCCAGACTGGTCTCGAACTCCTGACCTTGTGATCCACCTGCCTCAGCCTCCTAAAGCAAATGGTGAATTTTATGTAACTTTTACCCCAATAAAAATTTTGGAACAAAAAGGGGAGATAGAACTATGGGTAGAATACAGAAGAATTGGGCCAGGCCTGGTGATTCACACCTGTAATTCCAGCACTTTGGGAGACTAATGAGGTAGTATCACTTGAGGCCAGGAGTTCGAGACCAGCCTGGGCAACAGAGTGCAATTGCCATCTCTACCAAACAAGCAAACAAAAGAATATAGAAGAATCATAACATTTGATGTGATGTCTAGTAATTGCTTTAAAATACTTCATCAAAATGTGGGGGATTATAGATGAGACAAGTTATGTAACATATTGATAATTCTTGAAGCTGGGTGATGGTTACATGGGGATTCATCTCATTTTCTGTAATTTTGTGTGGGTTTGAAAAGTTCCATTGAAAATGTTAAAAACAACCCCATCCTCCTGCCAAATCATTTGAAAACTTAATTTGGGGAGTTTCTTAGAACTGAGTTGACCTTTAAATATTATTAAGTATTAAAGTTTCTAGTAGCTCAGAGTTAAAGGGTATTCCCACCAAATTAAGAGTTGAGGAAGGGCCCTGAATGTGAGCCAGAGCTACTAAAGTAGGATGTGCCACAAGGGCACCTCTCCTTCTGCTCTGGTTTCTGTGAAACATAGTGCTTGTTTCAGCAATGTCACCTCTAGGAATGTATCCTCAAGAAATAATTGTTCACATGTGCAAACCTGTATGTAAATAAGGGTGCTGTTCTGAGTGAGTTTATAACAGTGAAACAATGGAAACAAGATAATGACTGACTCTAAAGACGCTGGCTTAATAAATCATGGATACAAGTAAATAATTGGATTTAATGCAGTTATGAAAAATAATCTAAACACCTTGGACCTCAGTTGCCTGTTTTTTTTTTTTTTTTTGGAGACAGAGTTTTGCTCTTGTTGCCCAGGCTGGAGTGCAATGGTGTGATCTCAGCTCACTGCAACCTCTGCCTCCCAGGTTCAAGTGATTCTCCTGCCTCAGCCTCCCAACTAGCTAGGATTACAGATGCCCATGACCATGCCCAGCTAATGTTTTGTATTTATAGTAGAGATGGTGTTTCGCCAGGTTGGTCAAGCTGGTGTGGAACTCCCGACCTCAGGTGATCCGCCTGCCTTGGCCTTCCAAAGTGCTGGGATTACAGGCGTGAGCCACCATGCCTGGTCAGTTCCCTGGTTTTTAAATGAAGAAAGCCAAAGGAGAATTGTTTTCCTCAACTAGTTTTAGGAAGCCAGCAAATCTTTGATACCAAAATCTCATAAAGACATTATACAGAAAGGAAAATTACAGGTGAATCTCTCTTATAGACATAGATCTAAAAATCCTAAACAAAATATTAGCAAATTGATTCCAGCCATATATAACAACTGTAATAAATCAGGACCAAATCTTGTTTATTCCAGGAATGGCTGATTGGTTTATTATTGGAAAACCAAATAATGTAATTTAACATTTTAAATAATAAATGGGGGAAAAGTATATGATAATTTTAATAGATACAGAAAAAGCATTTCATTAAATTCATCATCCATTGATTATTTTAAAAACTTATGGTAAAATAGGAATAAGAGTAGAATATCTCTTCTCACCACTTCTTGTACTCTAGGTCCCAGTCAATGCAGTAAGGTAAGAAAAAAGAAATGTATATGGATTGGTAAAGAATAAATAAAACTGCCATCATTTGCAGATGATATGCTTATGTATGCAGAAAATTCTAAGGAAGCTACAGATAAAAATTTGAATTATTAAGAGAGATTAGCAAAGTCAGTATACAATATCAACATCAAAAGGCCGGTTATATTTCTATATAACATCAACATGCACGTAGAAAATGAAATTTGAACCAATATTTTATTTATAGTAGCATATACAATCAAGTACCTTGAACTAAATGTAATAATAGATGTACAAAACCTCAGGCAAAAGTTATGAAGCTTTGTTGACAGTGTCAAGTGTTTGTGAGGATGTGGAGCAACAGGAACTCACAAACACTGATGGTAGAAGTGGGAATTGGTATAACTGTGGTATGTACTTCAGTGGTATCTAGTGAAATTAAAAATATACATAATCTATGAGCCAGCAATTCCTCTCCTACATATATACCTTGTGTGTGCACATATGTACCAGGAGACATTAAACACATGTTCGTAGCAACATTTTTCATAATTGTCCCAAACTGGAAACAACCCAAATGTCCATAGTCAGTAAAATGATAAATAATTTCTTGTAAAGTCATAGAATGGAAAGCTGTAACGCAACACTAAGAATGAGGAACCAATGCTACATGCAACCAGGTTGAATCTCAGAAGCATAATTGTAAGGGAAATGAGCTGGATATAGAAGGATATATGCATTATAGTTCTATTTATATAAAGCTCAAGAAACAATAGTGTTTGGAGATCTATATTTGAGTGGTAAAGCTATAAAGAAAAGTCAGAAAGCAACAGCCAAAACTGTCAAGAGAGTGTGTTTTTGTTTTGTTTTTAGGAGAGAAAGGAGAGAGGTTGTGATTGGGCAGGGACTCACCGGAATTTCTGGATTTCTGGTGTGTTTTTTTTCTTGATCTTTATGGTGATTTGCTTTATAATACTTTTTAAGCTGCACTTTTACATTTTATGCACATCTCCCCCCACCATGATTACAGTGTTTTAGAATGTGGAGATGTTAAGATACACCTCAGGGATTGTCGTGGGAATGAAATGAAGTATAAAGCCACGTAGAGCTCTTAGAATATGCCCGGCACTTTGTAAGACCTTAAGAAATGTTAGCTATCTAAACAAAATGCAGATTTGCTGTTATTATTGCTTCTCTTACTTGTTGCCAGCCCTGCCCCCTTTCCATCATATTTGTTGCCAATGTTTCTCAGCTTACTGTTGGTATTTTATTTCTGTTAACACTGTCTTCTGAATTAACGATCTTTTCCTTTATACTTTCTTTCCTTACTCTTAACCATAGAAGGTTCCCTCCAACCCAGAGATTTAATATGTATTGTATTGCAGCTTTAAAAGGGGTTGCTTTTGAACATTTGGTTTTTTTATTCCTTTTACAAAAACAAAGTATATAATTAAAGAATTAGTACATAATTGCATAAAATCTACATTTAATTCTCAAATTTATCTGGGATTCATATTTAGTGTCATGAGAGAAAGGAAACTGACCTTTTTTTCCAGTCAGATAATGAAGTTCCCCCTGTACCACAAATTGAACAACGTATCTCTCCTCTACTCACTGTTGCAGCTGTCTCCTCTTGCATACATTAAATTCACAACCATTTGCAACAAAAGCATAGACTGGAAACTTGGCACTTGTACTGAATGTGATAATGCAACTCTGAAGGGAGAGGGGATGGTTGCCAGGCAGCAGGAGGGTAGCTGCAACAAGGAGAGAATGTGAAAGAAAGGTGGAAAAAGCTTGTGTCAAACAAGTATTCCTTAAAGGTTGCATCCTTGTGTGTGGCGCACAAGCCACTTGCTGTTATGACATTTGACTAATTATGTCTGTTGACCTCGCTTTCCTCGTGTATCAACTCTATATAATAATTATGCCTACCTCATATGATGCTGTGCACATGATGGCTAACTCAAGTACGGAACACAGGCTTTGGGATCAGTCAGTCTAGTGTCTTATCCTTGACTCTACCACTAAATAGCCACATGACCCTAAGTAAGTTTCCTAACTTCCCAGCCTATTTCATCATCTGAAATATGTGTCAGTTAATAGTAATTAAATTAATAGCAAATTAGAAATAGAAAGTAATACTTAAGGGAATTGCTATGAAAAGCTAATAATGAATTTAAAGGCTTGGCACTGGGTGCCTGGCACATAATAAGCTTGGAATAAATCACACTTGCAGTGATTTTAATTTTTATTGCTATTGTGGAAGGATCAGGAAGGGAAAGAATATTCAGCAAAAGAGACTGAGAAGTAGGCATCGAAAAGATCTGGGAGAAGGAAACCATGAGACGGGTGTCATGGAAACAAGGGAAAATAGTATCAAGAAGGAGGGAGATAATGCAAAAGGAGGTCATTCAAAGGCTGGTTTCTTCTGACAAGACAAAAGAGCAATTTTCATCTCTTAGTGACTAATGAGAATGAAGGGAGAAAGGAAAGGGAAAAGCAATAATTATAAATAAAGGGTATTGAACACAACATTTTCTAAAAGCCTTCTTCCTCTTAACCCTGTAGTCACCTCAGGTCTGCTACGTCTTCCAATTAAGGAAAATACATACTTCTTAAATAAAGGTAAGCCAGCGTGACACAAAATGAAATAAAAAGTATCACTTTTGCATCATTTTGGTGAAATAAAAATTTAGACAGTTTCAGGTTTACACAGTGGAGGAGATGATGATGGGGGAAGGAAAGAGGATGAATTACAGAGCAGGATTTCAAAGTAATGATTTTGAACCTTCAAGCTAACTCCAGTAAAAAGGTGGTAGGTGTAGCATTTATTCCTCTTTTCACTCTACCTGGTTTCAGAAAGAAATTCTGACAGCATATCTAGGTAAATCATTCAATAGCATTTATAGAGTGAATTTTAAAAAAAAGGTGAGCAGGAAGTAGAACTAGATTCTAATCTGGGAGAGATGAGTGGGAAAATCCCCTCCAAGGATAGATTTTGGGAGAGGTAGGGAGGAATAAGGGGTTGTAAGAGCCAGGTAGTGTTGGGGGCCCCTGTGGCTTTGGGGGCCTGAATAAGCTGCCTCCTGCCTGGGTGGTGGGGTCCTCTTTGCTTATGGAGAGATGGAGGTGGCTACCAGGGACCAGAGGTGTCCCAGAGGGATGCAAAGTGTGGGCCTCTTGAACCTTTGCTTCTGCTCAGTTCTCAGCTAAAGGGTCAGAGGCAGAGGGCCCTCCCAGTCTATTGGCCATAAGCATTAAGGAGGCTGAGGCTCAAGGCCATCATGGAATGTGAGGTGGTGAAGGGCAGAGCACAGGAGGCTGAGCCTCCATTTCCCTCCACCAAGAGGTGAGTGTGGCTCCACGGGAAGGGAGTGGTGGTAAAGTGAGATTGTGGGGAAATGAATGGAGCAAGGGGGATAGGAATGAGATTGTGGGGATATGGATGAAGCAGGCGGGATCTGAATGGGGTTGTGGGGATATGGATGGAGCAGGGGGGATAGGAATGAAACTGGGGATACAGATGGAGCAGAGGGGATCTGAATAAGGTTGTGGGGATATGGATGAAGCAGCGGGGATAAGAATGAAACTGTGGGCATATGGATTGAGCAGAGGGGATAGGAATGAAATTGTGGGGATATGGATGGAGCAGGAGTATAGGAATGGGATTGTGGGGATGTGGATGAAGCAAGGGAAAGGTGCCAGGGAAGAGGAGAGCTGGGCGTGATTCTGGAAGGAGAGCACTCCTAGGCAGATTCTGGGCCTGGCAGCCCCGGGAAGGCTGCATTAGGCTTCTTGCAGTTTGTGGCTTCTACTCCTCCCTGGGAGCCTCAGCCTGGATCCTTTTGCCCCCATCAGCCTGCTAGCCTAATTAGATCCCAACCTCCACTCCCCCAACCACATAGCCCAGGGTTCTGTTTGAAATCAGTGGGTCTGCAGTTCCTGCTAGGCCTCCTCTACCTGTCACTGTAGATGGGAGCCTTCCAGCCTGGCTGTCATGTCCCTCCCCTTCTCCCCTGTCCTCCTGTCCTCCACCTACATAGCTCCATGCTCCTTTCTCTGAGGTGCCAGCTCTGGCTGCTGCATGTCCTGTCTCCTCAGCCCAGGGACCCCCTCTTCCCTCCCCAGCAATCTCCCTCAGGTCCTCAGGTCTGCATGCGTTTCACTCCACTTCTTGCCTTAAACGAAATCATTTCCCCTGTCCCTTGCCAGTGTTGATCTCTTCATGAGGATAGGGACTACTGTAGCTACAAGAAACTTGGGACCCTCAGGGATGGAGGTCACATGTCATCTTTTATCACCCTCCAATCTGAGGTCAAGAGATCGGGCAGGAGTAGTTGTCCCTTCCCAATACAAACAGGAATGGAGCCTCTGGAATACCCATTTTCAGTTTTTGTCACCCCTGTTCCCCATCTGATGTTTCATGACATGTTCAAGAAGAAAGCATTGGAACATTATTAACTCATGGGTGCAGGGATTGGCTCTATGACCCAGGAGACAGGTCAGTTGTGTTAAGGGACTGTTTGGGAGATATTCAGTTCATTTCAGCTTCGTTTCTCCTTTCCTATAAATGAGGTTGATAAAAACCTTTCCTCATGGTATGAGCCCCCCTTATAGCTTCTATATTTAGTTTCATTTTTCTTTATCTTTCTAAAAGTAATATTACCCAGAGGCATGAAATTAGATGTTTATATATATTAATGGACATAGAAGTCCACAAGATATATTATTTGGTGAAAAAAATACACAGTATAGAACAGCAATTATATTTGATCACCTTTACTTATACATATATCTATCTGGGTATACAGGTACAGGGAGATGTCTGGAAGAACATTCACCAAAGGGCTGACAATGGTTACAAAAGGGTGCAGAGTTTCAGGTAATTTGTAATTTAGTTTTTGTATCTTCCTTTATTTTTGAAGATTTAATGAAGAGATGCTCCTATCATAAAAAGCATAAAGTCACCAAATAAATAGACACATGAAGAATAGACCCTTAAGCTGGCAGAGAAGGGAGCAGGAACAGAAGTCACATCATTTTCCTCCATTGTGCTAGTAAGCAAGACCTCTTCTCCTTCCCAAAGGAAAGCTGCTTTGTGGATTAATTCATGCAGTTAGAAACCCACCCTGCACTCCCGTTATTCCCAACACCAGACTCTGAAAACAGTTAAGGATTTTTTTAGGTCTGGGTCTAGATCCTTACTGTGGCTCAGAAGCATCACTGTGCTCTCCAGGGACCTCTTTTGACCTCTCCTCTGTATGTGTCAGCTCCTTCGGGGTGATGATCAGATTCTCAAAAACTGGGCCTTGTTGCTCTCATTGTCACAGGTTTCTTTTGAGTGGCCCTCTTTACCACAATATGAGCAGCGGATTGTGTATTTTCGCTTCCTGACTCTATGAATATTCCCAGGACCATCCTTATATCCGGAACCACCACTGGTAGAAAGAGACTGAGCCCCAGAATTGTTGGGGAAATCAATGACCAGCACTTGATCCAGAGGTCTGGCTCTTCCTCTGAAGGGAGGGGCACTTGTGGGTGTCAGTAGAGGGTCGGGAGACTCCACCAGGACCACATCCTCATTGGAGTCATCAAGGGTATCATCTATTTCAATCACCTTGCAGTTACAGTCAGCACTGCTGATTGCTAATGGCTGGGGGTCCTGAAATGCCACAGGGCTGGCTGACCTCTCCATTATTGGCTCAGACCTTTTCGGCCGCTTCTGTCTAATAAACGCATCATCTCAATCCTCCTCCTCCTCCCTTATCATCTTGATTAACTCCAGGAAATTGGGAAGCCGCTCCTGCTCATTTGCATACATCCTGAGAAGATGCTTAAGCCTGAAGCGCAGGTCTTTATTCAGCTCAGCGCCTAAAAGAAGCTGTTTCAAGCGAGTCTGGTTTGCATCTTTCTCAGCTAGGATGCCTGCCTGAATAGCATTCTGGAGCTGCACCTCTAAACGGATCACATAAAGAGAGGCTTTCTCCCCTTGTGCCTGCAGGGTGTTAACAAATTTACCATGGGCAGTCACACTGCTTTCAGACTCCCCAAACACCAATTTCATGGCCCGCAAGAAATCTGCTACACTTAGGTTGGGGTTGGCAGCCTGAAGCAAACGCACGACCTCCCGGGCAGGGCCCCTGAGGGTTTTCATCAGGCGCTTGAGTTTTTCCTCCTCAGACGTACTCCAATCTGGTAGGACCCCATTGACTTGGCTCAGCCAGTTTTCAAAGATTTCTTTCCCGTGGGCTGGCACTACCCTCCCCGCGAACAACTTCATGTTTCTCTCTGCCATGTTGACCATTAAAGGACCGAGACTCCTCTCCAGAGACCTCAACATGGAATGGGCCCAAGGTGGCAAAGGTGCATTCTGCCTCCGGCTGTTACCCACATGTGCAATGATGCTAGCCATGAGTGACAACGACAAGGTATCTGAATATAAGATGCTTGCACTTTTTGGAAAAGCCTTATCTGCAGGATTCTCCAGAGCAACGATCCTGGGCTTTGCCTGCTTTGTATTTCAGGAGGGACTGTAAAGAAAATAAAAACGGTTAATAAGGCTGTGGGGAGGCAGTCTGCAGTAGCATTCTCCATCTTCCTGAATAACCTTGTAGTGCATTTTATATCTGCCCAGTGCCTTAAAAATACCCTGCAGGAGACTGGCAATTAAGACATTCCAGAGCTAGCAGGTGTCCCTGGACTAGTAGGGTGTTTTTCAGAGCCACATCTGTCCCCTCCTGCCTGCACTCCAGGAGGGGCGAAAACTGTTGCTTCTAATTCAAGATGACATAGTGTTCAGAGCTGATACTGGACCCTCAAAACAGAGCTCAATGGTGTGTGTCACAGATTTATGGTAATAATAACCCATTAACCTCATGGCCTCAGGTCTCAATCACACCTCCTTGTCAACGTTTCCCCTGTTATTTCTCAGATTCTTACGTGAGCTCAGAAACTAGCGTTCGCCTTTATTTTACTTGCAGCCTCTCAACAGGTGCCTGCCACGAGAAAATTAGCCTCTGGGGTACGGCCGACTTTTGTTCACTGGGGGTCGCAGATCCCAGTCCTCAGGGCCTCAAGACTGGGCCACAAAGGAAGAAAACGAAGGATTGGAAGCAGCCTCATCCGAAAACCTGATACTTCCCCTCCACCGCCTCCACTGTCACCAGGCAGGAAATTCCCTCTCCCCTCTTCTAAACAGAAGCCAAAGTGCCTCCTGCCGCCCCCCCTCCCCCCGACCCCCTTACATTTCCTCGGAGAAACAGTCCGCCTACCAGCTCTGTGCAATCAGCCGCACAGAATTCAAGTTCGGATTCGGCTTTGGTGATCTGACAGGGAGAGAGACTAGAAATTGGACAATCTCCCCCCCCTTCCCCATATTCCTTCCCAGGAAGAGATGAGGAGATGAACAACGGGTTCAAGACAGCTTCCGATCATCCCCTCCCGCCCCTTGCCACCTCCCCAAACACCACCCTCCCCACCTCCGACCCCCAACAACACCGCCGCCCACCTCAATCCAGGCAAATCCTAAATCCTACCCAGGTGAACCACAACTCCTTCCTCAGCGCAACCAGGCCATGGGAGTGCTCCATGCCCTGCCTCGCAGTTGCCGAGTCTCCAAACAGGGGCGGCGCTTCCCCGACCCCTCACCGCGCAGGGCAATCGCGCGCTCTTTCTTTACCTGCGCTTCACTGGTGGGCAGCCTGTGCTCCCGCGTCGACAGCTCTGTTTCAACGCCTTCCGGTCCCCGTAGCTCTGCAGGGGAACAGGATCTCTGGCGCCTCCTCGGCCGCTAAACGACCCGGGGCTGCCCGCCCCAGCGAGTCTTTCGCAGGACCGCCCAGCGAGGGGTAGCCGAGTCGAGGCAGCGCGGTTCCCAAGGCAGCCACGGCTGCGCCCAGCCTCCAGTTCGGCCCTCCGGGCAGCCGCGGTTACTTTCAGTCTCTGCCCATTGAAACAAAAGAGCGTGAGAGCGTGACGAGCCGGGCGGCGCGGCCAATCAGTGGGGCGAAGGGAAGGTCTCCTCGCGCAGCCTCCGGCCCGAAGCTACTGCTGGCTAGAGTAGCGAGCTGGGAGCCGGCGGGCGGGGGCTGCTGCAGACAGGCGCGGGAGCCGGCGCAGCGGCAAGTGCAGGTCGGACGCACGGACCGGGCCCATTTCCCTTTCACCGTGAGTTTGCTGCTACCCCGTCGCTTCCCTTCTCCCCATCCCCTTCCACCTTGGCGCTCATCCGGGCTTTGAGACCGGATGCCTTAAACACGAGGTGGGACAGAAACCAAGTGAACAATGAGAGTTCCTCAGCTTTGTATAGGGGGAAGTGGGGAAAGAGCGTTTCCTGTGTGCTTTCTGTGTGCAGATGCGCCTGCAAGGACATCTTCTTCTCAGCAGCTGTGTGAAGGAGGTAGCAATGTGCCCATTTAACAGGAAAGGACTGAAGCACCCAGACAGCACAGTTAGGAAGTGCAGAGCTAAGAGCTCACACCCAAGTCAACATGTCTGACTTCAAAGACTGCCCCTTGCCAACACTCCTCTATTCTGTCAGATTAAGGGTTAGTGGGGAAAAACCAAAGCCAGGATGGGAGGACCAACTTGGGATTGCACAGAATTAGTGAGCAAGGACTGTTATTTCCTTTTCACAGATGAAGAAACTGAGCCAAAGGGAGAGAGGTTACGAGTCTTGCCCTGTATCTTGCCCTGAGTTAAGCATCCAACTTAGCACTCCTCTGTTGCCCTCTAGATGCTAATTCTTTGCCCTGCAGCGCTGCCTGGAGAGCATTTTTGCACAGGTAATCTCAAACCATCTCAATAGCAGTCTCAGTGTGATGATAGTGGTGAGGGAGAAGGTGAGGAGGTAGTGGGGAGAGGGCTGAGGGCAAATGGAGGCAGCCTTTATGGTGCCCATTGTACAGAAGTGGAAGCTCTTCTTGGCACTTTTCTTTCTTTCGTTTTTTGTTAATACTTTTTTTTTGTTTTAAACACAACAAGCTGCCCGTTTGATAAAAGCAACATGATTTCTACAGCCCTTTGCAAACCCAAAGGAGGCAAGGCTCAGAGAGGTAAAATGATTTGTCTGAAGTTACAAGGTGAAGCCAAAATTTGGATCTAGTCTCTGAATCCAGAACCCATGCTATTCATCAAAATATGAGTACAAGGTGGGCTGCCTCAGAGTCATTTTGGAGAGCTTGTAATAAATGCAGATTCCCGGGCCTTCCCCCTGGGGGATTTTAATATACTAGGACTAGGGGTGAAGAGTGTGATTTGTAGTTTTAACTAGTTCTGTAGTTGATTCTGAGGTGTAGGGAGATTCGTGAACCACTGTTCTAAACACCACCTGTGATGTTGAAGGTTATAAGTAAATGGGCCTGCTGTTGGTGTATTTGTCCATGGCATGTCTGTCATGACATGTAACTCCAGAGCACAGGCTCCTACCCGAGGTCCTTCCTAGAATTGTATGCAAAGAATCTGGCCTCCGTACATTTTTCTGAGTCCCCAGTTCTGCAGATTTTCAAATGGGTTTGTCATAAGGCCTTCCTTCTTCAAGTCATGCTTGAAGAAGAAGTATGAGAAATAAAATCCCATTTAACCTAACCCCCAAACCACAGCTGTCTGTCACTGATATAGCTCTTTCATTTCCCGGCTCAAGGACAGGTTGCTAGGTTGCCCTTCTGTGAGCTCTTCAGGGGACTTCTCCTTTGCTGGATTTGGCATCACTGGCCCCAGAGAAGGAGCAACTCCATGGAAACGGCATGCAGGGCTGTCCAAAGTGAATGACCATGAAGGCAGTGGCTGGAAAACTGCTCCACTTTTCTCTGGCTTAGAGAGCAGGTATTACTTCCTTTATGTACAGTGTGTCTAGGAGGCTCTTGTGGGGCTTGTTCTTGACTTCTGATGCTTAGAAACAACTAAACAGTCTGATACCCTTTGGCTGCTGTTAGCTTCTTCTTCAGCCTGCCAAGGTACTTCACTTTCTCTTTTCCGCCCTCTTATTTACATCACCAAGATCGAGAGTTCCTTGGAGTAAACAATGCAAATTTGGAGATGAATCACCTTCCGTCTCAGGATCATGGCCTGTGAATGGAACAGTGGGGTAGTAGTGGTGGAGGGTGGAAAGTGTGGATGTATGGAGAAGGCAGGTTGCTCACCTGGCACACTCAGGGGTGATGCTGGCAGTAGCTCTTAGGTTTCCTTCAGACTTTTGCTTCTGCTCCCCTGGCCGGTGACATCTGACTCTCGCCTCCCAGAAGACTCCTGTTCAGTGTTTAAATTGGCTTCATCACCAAATTAGGTATTTGCTGCTGGACTTGGTAGGGGTAGAATCACATAAGACCAAGAATAGATCTCAGAGCTCTGACAAAAGTAATGACAGGAAATGGATTGTGTAAAGGTGTCAGGGCTGGGCTACTGGAACAAAGCGAGGGACTCTGTGCAGGGATGCGGGGAGTATTTGCAGCATGGCTCCAGATGGATACAGGACATCCCATCTCTGGCCTCATGTGTATGAGTGTGATCCAGTTGATGGCTTTAGTGAGACCACATTTTCTAATTTCAATAAATAAACCTTAAAAGGTTGAAGGTTTGAAGATAAAGCTTTCAGATGAAACAATAATAGCTGCCCTTGGCTGCCTGCCTCCTTTGTGCCAGGAACTTTCTATCTGTTACCTCATTTAAGCTTCTCAGCAACCCTGTTGAGACAGACAGTGTATCCCATTTTGCTGAGAGGGAAACTGAATTTCAGGGACATTAAGTAGCTTGTGTAAAGTTTTACAACTTGTAAGTGGAGGCACTGGGACTTCAGGCCAGGGATGTCAAACTCCAAAGCCCATGAAAACTCTTCTTTGCTGTCTTCCAAACAAGCAGTCTAAAATGCATTCTGCAGATGAACCAGTTCATTAGACCAGTTGCAGCCTTTACAACAATTTAGTTGTTATCTTGCCTTTATTCCTATTATCTCATTTTTAAAAAAATGAAATTAATAATATAACTTATAGAGCAACTTAAATGCCAGGTGCTGTGCTAAGCACTTTCCACACTTTGCCTCATGCATCCTTCATGACAATCATTTTACATATAAGGATATTGAAGATCAGCGAGGTGAAGAAATTTGGCCAAGGTGATAAAGCTAGGAAGTGACAGAGTGAAATTCAAACCTAGGGCTGGCTGAATCCAGAGCCCATGTGTGTGCCCTACAACACAATGCAGTGGGGAAGACAAATGTGGTCTTCATTCTAAATGGGCTCCTCTCTGTCAGCCACAGCTCTATCTCTTTCTCAGCACATGGGGTAGGCCAGCCCCAAGCACAACTCACACTTTTAAGCCCATGTGCCTTAGGCCACTTCCTCAGCCTAGAATACTTGCCCTCACTCCTCTACCTAACAAGAGGCTATTCTATGCTACTCGATTAAGGATTGAGTCATATGCCTCTTCTCAGGTGGAATAAATTGCTCTTGTCTTTTTGCTTCTAACTTCATTAGCGTACCCTTTATTGTCTTTCTGTAGAGTTTAGCTCATTACTGACCTGTCTCCCTTACTAGATTCCCAAGCTCTTGAGGGCAGGCACCAAGTTCTATTCATTCTAGCTCCATGGTGGTTTACCCACAATGATTTAGTGGATGATCAATACATGTTTGTGAGTTGACCAAAGGACTGGCTGAGAGATGCCCCAATTGAACAGACAGATGCATTCATTTGTGGCTGGATCCTGGAGCAGTCACACAGGCTACCCATGTGGACTAGACTGGCTGGGAGAGTCTGGAATCCCCTGGGCTCATTTTCCTAGGCTGTAAACATAGGAGGCACGTCATAGGGTACAGGTGATATCTGCTCAAGGCCAATTCTAGGTCCATTCTGTGGTCTGTACTTTAGAATTCATGTGAAGGGGCCAGGCTCTCCTAGTTTGTTTATGTTGTGCCTTCCCATTCATGGAAGAAAGGGCTTCCCTGCCTCCCCCAGGAACACAAGATTCATTCCCACATGTCACTTTATCTGCTTCTGGCTGTTCTGAGAGTGTCCTGAAGGAGTATATGCCCTGTGGAGACAGATAGTGAGGTCCTGAAGCATTTTTTTTTTGATACTTTTTATCGAGGCCTCCATGTTATGGATTCTCAACCACTTTATCTCATTTTATGTTATTAATCTCTGCCACAACGTTTTGAGGTGGGTCTTAATGTCCCTGTTTTGTAACTGAATAAACTGAGACTGAATGAAATGTCTTGCCCAAGGTCACACAACTAAGTAAGTGGCAGAGGCAAAATTCAGTCTCAGGTCTGTCTGCTCCCAAAGCCTGGCATCTTAACAGAAAATACATAGGAGAAACATGAACTCCCCCTCTCCCCATAAAATGGAAAGGATTGTATTTATAAGATGGATTACATATTGAAGGTGAGATGTTTCTTAATTATTGTTCACCTTTAATCCCCCAAGATGATTTTTAAAAATGGCAGAAGGAGTTGGGAATTGAAAAGTACAATTCCTCTATCAGTTATTGACCTGAATGCCCCCATATCAACACCCTCTGACAGATACCTTTTGGAGATGACTACAGATTATTTTGCCCTTTCTGCTCCATGTACAGCTCAGGTGGGTAAGGCTCCAGATATCATTGAATTTCTAATGGTCACACATCAAGTTAATAACAAAACTCACTTAGAATACTGGTATCCCATACTACCCCACCCGATTCCTGGCCTTGCTGGGGTAGGTGCAATAGTCGGGAGTCCTTGCACTGCCAAGTCATAGCCCAGTTTTCTTTCTGCTACATCATCCTACCTCATGGCATCAGTGAATACATGTTTATAAATGGTAGGGAGGAAGTGGAACATTACTGCACTGTGAGGTAGAAGAGGGGACAAACATTTACCTCACCACCTGTACTTATTTAGGTGCAGGTTAAGACTTGGGGAAGAAGACCTTTGGTAGGAGAGCTGAAGACTGTTGGGGCTCCTGTGGATTTAGCAGCCTGGGTATCTGGGAGGAGTCCCCTTTGGCTCTGGAGAAATGAAGTGGGGCTGCCAGGGGACAGAGGTGCCCCAGAGGGATGCAAATAGTTGGCCTCTTGAGCTTTGATTCCTGCTTAGTTCTCAGCTAAAGAGTCAAAGGCAGAGGGGCCCTCCCAGTGTACTGGCCATGAGCATGAAGAAGGCTGAGGCTTAAGGCCATCATGGAATGTGGGGGAAGGGGAAGGTGGTGATGGGCAGAGCACAGGAAGCTGAGCCTCCATCTCCCTCCACCAAGAGGTGAGTTGGCTCGAGGGGAGGGGAGTGGCGGCAAAGTGAGATTGTGGGAAAATGTATAGAGCAAGGCGGAATAGGAATGAGATTGTGGGGATATGGATGGAACAGGGTGGGATAGGAATGAGACTGTGGGGATATGGATGGAATAGGGTGGGATAGGAATGAGACTGTGGGGATATGGATGGAACAGGGTGGGATAGGAATGAGACTGTGGGGATATGGATGGAATAGGGTGGGATAGGAATGAGACTGGGGATATGGGTGGAATAGGGTGGGATAGGAATGAGACTGTGGGGATATGGATGGAGTGGAGTGAGGTATAAATGCGACTGTGAGCATATGAATGGAGCAGGGGGTATAGAATGAGATTGTGGGGATGTGGATGGAGCGGGGCAGGGGATAGTAATGGGATTGTAGGGAGTTGGATGGAGGAGAGGGATAGGAATGGGATTGTGGGGATGTGGATGGAGCAGGGGATAGGAATGAGGTTATGGGGATGTGGATGGAGCAAGGGGAAAAGTAATCAGATTGTGGGGAGTTGGATGAAGGAAGGGGCATAGGAATGTGATTGTAGGGAGATGGATGGAGCGGGGGTGGGGGGGATAGGGATGGGATTGTGGGGAGATGGAGCAGGGGGCACAGGGATGCCATTGTGGGGAGATGGAGCAGGGGGGATGGGGTGGGGTTGTGGGGAGATGATGGAGCAGGGGGGATAGGAATGGGATTGTGGGGATGTGGATGCGGCAGGGGGACAGGAATGAAACTGAGGATACAGACGGAGCAGGAGGGATAGGAATGGGTTTGTGGGGAGATGGATGGAGGAGCGGGGATAGGAATGGGATTGTCGAGGTGTGGATGGAGCAGGGGGAAGGGGCTAGAGAGGAGGAGCAGAGCTGATGGGAGTGATTCTGGAGGGACAGCACGCCAAGGCAGATTCTGGGCCTGGCAGCCCCGGGAAGGCTGCACTGGGCTTCTTGCAGTATGTGGTGTCTACTACTCCCTGGGGACTTCAGCCTGTACTCTCTGGTCCCCCATCACCCTGCTAGCTTAATTAGAGTCCCAATCTTCATGCCCCCTACCACATAGCCCAGGGTTCTGTGTGAAACCTGTGGGTCTGCAGTTCCTGCCAGGCTTCCTGTCCCTGTCACTGTAGATGGGAGCCCTCCAGTCTGGCTCTCATGCCCCTTCCCCTCTTCCCTGTCCTTCTGCCCCACACCCACACAGCTCTGTGCTCCTTTCCCTGAGGTAACAGCTCTGGCTGCTGCACACCCTGTCTCGTCAGCCCAGGGACCCCGTCTTCCCTCCTCAGCAAATTCCCTCAGATCTGCATGAGCATTCATTTTTTTTTTTTTTTTTGATCCCAAAGTTTCTTCATATGTCCTGGCTTCCAAGTTGCTTCTCATGCTAGCCATCTGCTTCCTGGTCTTTCTGGGGTAAGGAGCAATAGTTCGGAGTCCTCGCACTGCCAATTGTATCTAGTACAGTGGTTCTGAGCCGGGAGCAGTTTTGCCTCCCAGGAGACCTTTGGCAAGGTCTGGAGATATTTTTGGTCATCACAGTGGGTTAGTCACCACTGGTGCTACTGGCACACACTTAGCTGAAGCCAGGGAGCCTCTGACCATCCTCCAATGCACAGGACAGACGCCAAGGATAAAAATTATCCTGCCCAAAATGTCAATAGCACTGAGGTTAAGAAACCCCGCTCTATTATATAGCTACAGATCTGCAAGGTTAGGCTTGGAAATTGCCAGGTGCTGAGCCTTTAGGCACTGAACTTTCAGGAGCAGCTGCTCTTTCCTTTCCTCACTTGCCAGACGGGGGCTGGGCGTTGCCATGAAACAGCTACAACTTGGGCAGGAATCTATGGAGAGAAAGGCAGGGGGAGATTCCCCCTCCCCAAATTTAATACCAACTTTTAGAGAAAGCATTGCACTTCAACTGTTAAATGTCTTTCTGCCTCTACAAGATAGTGCCAGTTTTTTTTGTTTTTGTTTTTGTTTTTTTTGCAAACAGAATAGTAACTTATTATTCTCGTAGTTTATAAAATGCACAGTTTCGTGTTGTGAAAGTTGATGCATTAAGTTTTGGAGTCTTCCCCTCCTCTGTTTCATGTTCTTCAGTTGTAATCCTTCTTTGAATATTGGTATATTTTGCTGTGTCAGCAAAGTACTGTAGTGGTGGCTCTGTCCAAAAAGAAAAAAAAAAAAAGAAACGGATTGCCTCTCTTTTAATGTAAGGTTAATGAATTCTTAATTTCTTAAGGGTGTGCTTATTTATCAGAAACTGGCTCAAAGAGTTGCTTGTTTCCTTTGACCTGAGTTTTTTAGGATTTTTTTCTAACTAAGCAATGAAGATTCTTGCCAACAGATTTAAATGGTCAGTCTAATCTCTTTTTTTTCCACCCTTGCCAGTTTCTTCCATCTGCTCCCAGTTGTCTTCAGCATGGGGGAGCAGAACCACTCTCCTGGGAATGAGCTTCCGCACAGGAGGAGAGCAGAGATTCCCGGAAAGAAAAGCTGGCACTCCCAGGCCTACGCCCTTGGGGCTGTTTCCAACTTTATGTCTACTTTTCTGACCTTTCCTATCTATAAGGTTGTGTTCCGGCAACAGATCCATGCCATGGCAGTGTCAGAGGCTGTGAGACAGCTTTGGCACGAAGGTCCTCAATACTTCTACCGGGGAATCTACCCTCCTCTTCTCTCCAAGACGTTGCAAGGGACTCTTCTGTTTGGGACTTATGATAGCTTGCTGTGCTCTCTCTCTCCTGTTGGGCCACACACTCTGGGACATCGCTGGGCTGCAGGGCTCATGTCTGGTGTGGTGGAGGCTGTGGCACTCAGTCCCTTTGAAAGGGTGCAAAATGTGCTCCAGGATGGTCGCAAGCAAGCTCGCTTCCCCAGCACCTTCAGCATTCTCAAGGAATTCAACTCTTACGGTCTTTGGGGGCGCCTGTCACTGGGCTACTATCGTGGTTTCTGGCCTGTCCTGGCCAGGAACAGCCTGGGGAGTGCTCTATATTTTTCTTTCAAGGACCCAATCCAGGATGGCCTGGCAGAACAAGGCCTTCCCTATTGGGTTCCTGCCTTGGTGTCTGGTAGTGTCAATGGAACAATCACCTGCCTAGTTCTGTATCCTCTGATTGTGCTGGTTGCTAATATGCAGTCCCATATTGGATGGCAGAACATGCCAAGCCTGTGGGCCTCTGCCCAGGATGTGTGGAACACTCGGGGCCGAAAGTTGCTCCTGATCTACCGTGGAGGCTCCCTGGTCATCGTAAGATCAAGTGTGACATGGGGCCTCACTACAGCAATCCATGACTTCCTGCAGAGGAAGTCTCGCTCCAGGAAAGAGCTGAAGACTGACTAGCTGCAGAAAGTGTGGCCATGGAAGCTTTGGTATTCTAAATCTTCCCTGGTGGGTTCTTTACTGCTTACTTCTTTGGCTCAGTTGCCTAATACAGCCATTCTTTAGCATCTGTAAACTCAATGCATGGGAGAAGTTCCCGACTACCAACCTGTTGAGCACAGACAAAGCCCAACAGGATTCCTTAGTCAAAAAGAAACGTTCGCCCCAGTCTCTCCACAGCTTCAGTAGCCTCAGAGCCAGGAGGCCTTTAAATAACCATGTAACTCAGATTAAGCGTCATTCCTTTAAGGAATTCCTTGACAATAAGAGGAAACTTAAAAAGATGAGCTTACTTAGCACTGTGAGCTCTGCAACCCCTCTAGGTGTCCTCCAGACCAAAATGAGTGGAACTCCAACTTCAAAGAACTATGCTTGACTCTTAGGATGGGAATTTCATAAAACTTCTCAGATGGCTACATTTTTATGATATTGTTCACTTCCTCTATCACCACCCCTCACTTCTCAAGGCTGTGGATCCTACTTTCAGGGTAGTAGCTGTGGCCGGAAATCCTAAATTAGACTTGCTTAAACTCATCATGTCCCACAAGAACTAGTGGGGCTGGAGACGGGAGTGAGAAGAGGTGTGGCCCATGCATGGAAAGAATAAAAACTTTGAAAGAAGAGATTTAATTACATGCAAAATAGAAACATTTATTATTGTCTGGTTGGTGTTACCTGCCAGGATATTTCTGAGAGCAAGGGGATAACATTGCCTAGAAACTATTTGAATTTCTCTAAGAAACCTGGAAGTGAAGTGACCATATCTCTTCACAAATAATTCCATATTTTGTTGATGTGGTAAATGTAGTTGCTATGACATAAAGATCAGAAATCTTAGCCTGTCATTCAGAGCCATTCAATATATGGTCCTCATATAACTTTCAACATATTGTCACTCCACTTACATAAACCCCAAACACTAGCCAAGGTGAACTATTCTTCTCCTCCCAAACATTCCATGAACTTTCCTATGGCCATACTTTGGCCCACACTATTCTTTCCACCTGCAGTGCTCCTTCTTCACATGCCAGTCTACCAAAATCCTTCCAGTTCCTCAAAGCTCAGCTCAGAGGTCACCTTCTCTATGGAGCCTCTTGATTTCCCCCAAATGAATGTGACATTAGTCTCTGTGATGCCCCTTTCTAACAGCACTTCATACATGGTACTGATTCCATTATGTCACTAATCTCATGCGACCCTGTGTTCTTGTATTCTTCAATACCTCCTTCTAGACTGCAAAACTTGTTGAAAGCAGGGATTCTTGTAAGCATTTTTAAATCTTCCATTGTGCCTGGGTGCTCAATAATGTTGGTTGAATTATTGAATTGATTATCAAGCTGTGATATGGTATATCCTCAGGGTGCTGTCCCTTGTACATGAAGATAATGTTATTGACTCACTGTCAGCAAGACACGTGCCTTTGGGCTGTGTTTTTGTTTTCTTTTAATAGTGGATTTAGTTTTGTGCTAATGAGAATGATGCTGCTGCTGCTGATAATAATAACAATAAAAAATTACTTTCAACTGGAATATTTGATGAGTTTGTGTTACTGATGTCATGTTTGCTATCAGCACCAGTTCGGAAACTGAAATTTCCTAAACAGAATCACACTGTATAACTGTCCCATTTGTTTCAACTCTGGGATTTTGAAGATTTCCAAGATGACATGTGTTATAGATTTCCCTTACAGATATCTTGATAATGCCCTGTACTTGCATCTCCTTACTGAACCAAATTTGTCCTTTATTTGTCTTATCTGGTTGTAGATTTAGCAGTGAGAACTTCTCACTAAACACCACAGAAATTAAAGACACAGTTGTTGGAGGTATGATGTCAGAGAGCATTTGCCGTCAAGGTTGGCAGAAAATAGCTAGTCCAAGAGAGATGAAGATGAATTTCCACATCTGTAGATCTGGATGTGTTGGGACAGTACTCAACTTGTGGGTTCAAGGAAGTATGAACACAGAGTCTACATAATGGAGGGAAAAAGATACATTTATCTTCCAAGTACACGGTTGATTTCTACTTATGTCACTGTGTCCATCCATTTTCCATTCTTCATTTTAACATCTTATTTAGAAATAATTTCAAACATATAAAAATGTTGCAAGCATAAATAAAGCTTAAAGAACACCCATGTACCCTTTACCCAAATTCACCTATAATTAACGTTTCTCCCCATTTGCTTTATTACTTGTGCCCTCTGTCTATATACAAACAGGATATTTTTTCCCTGAACTATCTGAGAGTCGCATACATCAATTTTCAGTATTGCTAGATTCAATATTTGTAGATCCAAATTCTTTTTTAAAAGACTGTGTTTTATCTCCATGACAATGGCACAGTTATTACAGAGTATTTTAAAATGAAAACTCACATGGTATATGTGATACTGTGAAATATATACTTGGTCTTCTATCCTGTTTCCTGGCATACAACTCCTAAAATCCTTAGAGTTTCCCAAGTGATATTCTTTTTGTATGCTAATGATTGACTGATGGCTGGCAGCCCATGGTTGCTTCAGGATGGGAACTGGTCACCAGAAAGACGAAGGCACCATTAGGGGGTTGGGACTTAACAGCCTCATTCTTGATCTCCAGGGAGAAGAGAGGTGTGGAAAGTTAAGTTGATCACTAGTGGCCAATGATTTAATCAATCACATCTATGTAATGAAGCTTCCATAAAAACCCCAAAGAACCAGGTTTGGAGAGCTTCCAGATAGCTGAACATGTGGAGGTTTCTGGAGGGTGGTACCCCAGGGAGGGCATGGAAGCTCTGAGCCCCTTCCCCAGCACCTCACCCTATGCATCTCTTCATTTGTATCCTTTGATATGTCCTTTATAATAAACCGGTAAACATTAAGTATTTTCCTGACGTCTGTGAACCTTTCTGGCAAATTAAACCCAAAGAGGGAGGTCATGTGAACTCAAATTTGAAGCCCAACTGTCAGAAGTTCTGGAGGCCTGGATTTGCAACTGGTGTCTGAGGGGCCTGGGAACAGTCTTGTGAGACCTAGTCCTCAGCTTGTGGGATATAATGCTATCTCCAGGTAGATTGTGTCAGAATTGAATTGGAGAACACCCAGCTGGTGTTCGCTACAGAATTGATTTTTCACTTAGTGTGTAGGAAGACCCCACACATTTGGACATCAAAATCTTCTGTGTTGATTGCTGTGATGTGAGAGCAAAGGAAAAAGTTTGTGTGTTTTCCCTTCAGAGTGTATTTTAAAGCTAAATTGGTAATAATTGCTTAAATTTACTATATTTGTCTTTATGAAAACTTTAAATTTACATTATGTATGTTGAAACTTGAAGCTATGCAATTATAAACATGGATTTACAACGAATGCATGTTATAATGTAAATAATTGAGTTTTTCAAATTGGTTCATATAAAATCATAGGCAATATTGTAAAATTATTCAGACCTGTCAACTTTTTCCACTTAAATCTTCTGAGCAAAATTTAAGGATGTAGTCGTTTTCTGGTAATTTTAAATGTCAATATTAATATTTAGTTTGGTGATGTTAATGTGGCTATATTTTCTGATATTAAAAATAACTCGGGAGTTGAAATCAATAAAATAAGGAGTTAATAAATATCTATATCTGTTTAAAGACATAAAATATACAACTGAACACTAAAACTACTTGGTATAAAAAATTAAAGGAAAAAGAATAAAAAGTCACCATACAGCACAATATATGCATGATACATATTTTTATCTAAATATACACTATAGCAACTTTTCTAAAGCTCAAGGTGAAATAATAAGTAACCAACGTTTTATGACAAATCATTATATGGTTTATTTAGACTTAATTTCACTTTTAGAATTTATTTCTAAACATTAAATGGCATAATTTTACTGGGATAACTACATATAGTGTAGTATATTGAAGTTAATAAAATAACGTTGCACATAAGAGATAAAGCATAAGTCAGAAACAATATAAAAAGCTTTTATAAAAAAAAAGATAAAAATACCGTATTTCTCTAGTTTGTTTACTTGCCAATGTCTCTGATTCTTTCATATCATCTTCCTTTCCTCAAATCTTTTACTGCCCTCTCCCTCATCATTTCCAACTGGTGACCTTGCTTTCTATTTCATTAAGAAAAGAGATACATTCAGAAGAGAATTGCCAGTTTAAAGAACAATTACAAAGACATCACCCATGTAGTAACCAGTCAGGGCAAGAAATAGAACCCTTTAATAAACTACTCCTCTCCTCCCACCACTGATGACATCCCTCCCTCCATCTTAGGGGTAGCCCCCATGCTGACTTTTGTGATAATAATTTCTTTGTTTTTGCTTATAAGTTTTCTTCCTTATAAGCATCCTTAAAGAACAGTTTTGTTTTACAGATGTTTAAACATTAAATGCTTTTTAAACTTGGAATTGTGATGATCTTGTTTCACTCCGCATTGCTTGTGAGACTCATCGATATTGCAGATAGCTGTAGTTGATCTATTTTTATTGTTGCACAGTTTACCATTGTATAAATATACCATAATTTATTCATGATAACTTTTAGGGACATTCTGGTTGTTTGCAGGTTTTATTTTTACAGTTTATTAGTTTTATTGATATATAGTAATTGTATATGTTTATGGGGTACATGTGATATTTTGATACATGTGTACAATGTGTAATGATCAAATCAGGGTAATTGGGATATCCATCAGCTCAAATATTTATCTTTTTTTTTTTTTTTTGCGTTCAGAACATTCCAAATCTTCTAGCTATTTTGAAATACACAATAAATTGAATACTGTGGTCACTCTGTTGTGCTACTGAACACTAGAACTTATTCCTTCTCTCTAACTGTATTTTTTCACGCATTAACCAATCTCTCTTCATTCACCCCTCAGCAGTACCCTTCCCAGCCTCTGGTAAACACAGTTCTACTCTCCATCTCCTTGAGATCAACTATTTTAGCTCCCACATATGAGTGAAGACATGAGATATTTGTCTTTCTGTGCTTAGCTTATTTCACTTCACATTTCACTTCACATAATGTCCTCGGAGCTCATGTATGTTGCCCCAAATGACAGGATTGCGTTCTTTTTTATAGCTGAATACTATTAAATTGTGTACATATACCACATTTTATTTATCCATTTATTTATTGATGGACACTTAGATTGATTCCATAGCTTGGATCTTCTGAATAATGCCACAATAAACATAGGAATGCTGATATCTCTTCAAGATATTGTTAAAAATTTTTTTTTTCGGATATATGCCCAGCAGCGAGATTGCTGAATCATAATGGTAGTGCTATTTCTAGGTTTTTGAGGAACACCCATACTATTTTCCATAATGGCTGTACCAACTTACATTCCCACTAACAGTGTATGAGAATTCCCCTTTCTCCACATCCTTGCCTGCATCTGTTATTTTTTTTGTCTTTTTGATAATGGCCATTTTAACTGGGATGAGATGAAATCCAATTTTTGACTGTTACAAAACAGTGCTACCATGATTGATCTTGTACATAAACACAGGTATTTCTAAGGCATTTATGTAAGAATGGAATTACTGGTTTATGGAATATGAGCACCTTCAATTTAAATGGATGATACCTAACTTCCTCATGGCATGTACCAATTCACACCCTTAATAGGCAGGTTTAATAGTTCTCATTGCTCCACCTGCTGGCCAACACATGGTATTGTCAGACTTCTTAATTTTTGCCTATCTAGTGGGTGTAAATGGCATCTCATAATTTGATTTTCCTGATTACTAATAATGTTGAGCATCTTTTCACATGCCTGTTGAACATTAGGATTTCCTCTTCTGTGAAGCATTTATTCTAGATATTTATCATTTTTTTCTGTTGGGCTGTATGACTTTTTCAAATTAATTTGAAGTTATTTTAGTTCTTTCATTTTTATATGTGTTCCATACAACTCTCCCCACTTTGTCACTTATTTTTCCATTGTAATGATTTCTTTTGACTAGCATAAGCTCTAATTGTAAGATAGATTTCAATGTTATCAATCCTTTTTTATGGTAAGTGCCTTTTGTGTCTTTTCAATGAAATCTTTCTATACCTCAATATCATAAAGATATTCCTTTATATGATAACATTTAAAATTTTTATGGTTTTGACTTTCACATTTAGGTTTGTAATATACTTGGAAATAATTTTTGTGTAGAGTATGAGAATAGAGGTCCATTTTTTTCTTATGAATATCCAATTGTCCCAATATCATTTGTTGAAAAGTTTTTCCTTCTCCCATTCAGTTAGAATGGAAACTATGTCAAATACCAAGTGTTCCTATATTATTGGGACTATTTCTGACCTGTCTGTTCTATTCTACTAGTTTATTATCTAGTCTTGTGCCAATACAGCATTGCCTGTATTGTAATAATAATAAATGTCTTGGTATCTGATAGGGAAAGTCTTCCCACATCATTTTTATTGTTCAAGAGTTTCTTATTCTTATCAGTGTGTGCAGAAATAAATGCTGAGATTTTCTTTTCACAAAATTACTGTTGAGATTTTAATTTGAGCAAAACTTAGCTG